CTTGCATTTTTTAAATATCATAATGACACTGTTCAAGACCTGTTTAATGCACCACCCCGGGACAATGGGGAGCTGTCTTGGACAATTTTGATGGCGCATACTCACATTGATGATTCTTTAGAGTTGGGAAAAATTAATGATTCTTTATTACAGGGAAAAATTAATGATTCTTTAGTGCAGGGAAAATTAATGATTCTTTAGTGCAGGGAAAAATTAATGATTCTTTAGTGCATGGAAAAATTAATGATTCTTTAGTACAGGGGAAAATTAATGATTTTTTTAGCGCAAGGAAAAGGTAGGACAGAGAGACAGGAACAACAGAGTAAAAGACCTAGCAGTGGCGCCACAGCACACATCCACAGTAAGTAATGTGATTGTTGTTATGGCTTATACAACAACACGCTCTTATTTACACGCCCGTGAGTGAGTCTAATGACGACTTGTTGAGGAGAGATGTCCTAAACTCTTGAAAAATGTATTGTGCTTCATAATCAGTGGTATACGGTTGCATGTGTTCAAAAAATATTTTATCCAAATTCAAATTTTAATTTATGTTGCAAAAAGCACCACCCCCCTTCCCCCCCTCCCCCACAATGTAGGTATAATTTCTTAGAAAAATGAAACATTCTTCTCTCCTGAAAAACCTTGCTTTCTGGGCTCAGAACATTTGAACAGATTGCCCCAACAATGTAGAGTCTACACGAGTGTCCCACTCATAAAAACAATGACAAACAAACAATTACACAAGCATTCACTCACCATGGCCCAGTTCTGTCTGCGCGTAGGTCCCAATGATTCGGTAATTTAAAGCTAAGGGAAGCCACCTGGCCTTCTGCTCCTCATTGCAGAGTCGCTCCAAGGCCGGGATGAACATTGTGTGGTGGAGGGTCAAGGCCTCGTCGAAGCAGTTGATGCGACTAAAGAAAGGAATCAGCGAGAATAAACTTTAGCTCCAGTTGAAATAAAGAAAGGGTTGAATAAATAACACACATTCAACAACTTGGGAAAGAGGGGGTGGGG